ATCTCTCGTACTGCTATACCGCTTCCGAAATTACCGAAATGGCGTAGCGACACGCGAGTTATAGAATAAAGAAACGCCTACTCCAGTTCGGTAAGGACCAAGTTGACATAGGCGCTTCCTTCTTCGTTTCCTTGCTTTCCTGCGGCCCAAAAGACGGTTAACGTGCAAAGTCAAGCAGAGCAACGACAAAGACTATAAAGAGAGAACAACAGCAGTACCAGCCAGAGCAGCGAAGAGTGAGTGGAGCATTCACAATGCGCGCGCCAGGTTTTTGCCAGTTTAAGCCAGGATAATCGGCTTCCGATGTCAAAGCATAACGACACTGCATCTTGAAGGGCAGCGGAAGGGTCAAACCGATTTCTACTACAAACCCATTGAAAGCAATGTTCTGTATCTTAAGCATCCCATCTGTGCTTCTTTCCGAAGTCCGACAAGGTTCTCATCGGTGAAGAATAGTCCCGACTGCACCCGGCAGCGAACGGATCAGACCTTAACATTTGAAGAGACGCCAGTTCTTACAAACACTCTGGTTCGACTCTTCGCGCGCTATCCGTCGTAATACAAGGCACCTACATCCTGGAAAACTAGCGCGACTGCGTTGCTGCACAAAAATGGAGACCGGCACGGCATTGGCAATTATCGAGCAATTGGCCAGCTATCCGTGATCTACAAACTCTTCACAAATAAAAACACAAACTTTACGAACTATAAATAGGACTTGCAAAGCACTACATGAAGGGAGGCCATGTGAGAGAGATAGCATTCCGGCGAGGTTTCAACAAAAACCTTTTTGTATGCTCTACTTACACCCCTAGTTGGGAACATTTATATGATGACCAATCTAGCACGGGGGTTGAGCAGTAGGGAACGAGCGGCTCGTGGACCCTTCAACAAGATAGAGGAAATAGAGAGGAAACCCAACCCAGCTTTCCTTTCAGTTTTTTATTCATCCTTCTTGCCTCCCAGGTACGCGTCTCTACGCAAGCAGGATGAAAATAAGGACCGTGTCATTCAACGCGACGTCGACAGAGCGATGCTCGGAGCTCCCCGCTATAAGCCAGTGAGTGAGAGAATGTGAAGCTCTGTAGCCCGCTGACGATCGAAGATTAGGAACGCAGCGGCAGGCATGAGATTATAAGTTAGGGTAAGAGCACCTCCAGTTGGAGCGGTGCACGGTAAAGTACTGTAGGAATACTGTAGAGTACGATGGGATCAGCCAGCAACTCCTGAGGCCTGGCTGCAGCATGACCTCAGTACAATGTCGAGTACTGAATAAATGAATGAAATTTCGTTAAACTGGCACCAAATCCACAACGAAACAAATAAAATACCCTACGTAACATTCCAAGAATTATATTTTATTGCTTAAGTATTAAGCCGCCCTTCTGCGAGCTGTGGAGGGGTGTAGGAATAGAGGAGAATTGGTAAAAGCTGTGGAGGGGTGTGAGAGTTCTTGAAGAAGCCTGTTGTGATTGCATGCATAGTCCCGAAGTAGACATCGCCGATAAGTTATTAACCAGCGAGTATTTCTGGAGAAGTGCTCTGAAATGTGATGGATGTCAGGAAATTAGCAGGTGAGTGCATTGACAGAACTGGTGTGAAGATCAACCATCGGTGAGGGAGCCATGTAGAAGCCATCCGTATAGAATAATTGATAGGCGATAGAGCAGTAGAAAAGCGTACAGAGTCGGACGAAGCAGAACGTATGAGGAAAGTGTGCATGAGGGAGTCCGGCAGTATAACTTGGAGGCATGCTGCTCGAACAACGAGTAATACTAACGAAGTTGTAATGTCGTTCTCATCAGCTAGATGAATATTTTCTCAGACGACCCCGAAATTGACTGTGAGCTCAGCTAGATCAACAGAAAGAGGCTGTTAGAGATAGGTCATTCTCTAGGGATTTTTTTGCCTTAGGAAGCTCGCACGACGTGCCGGTGCACTTAACAACACAAATTTTCGAAAAATTTGATAGGGTTCTTGTCGATGTAGACATCTATTGTTGCTCCAATATTCACAAAATCGAGAAATTACTAGTCTTCACGAATCAGTTCCTACCACACATAAGTTCCATCCGATTTATCTCGTTTATCTCGTTGAGCAGCCAGTGAGAGGCCAGCAATTAGCGCAGCATTCAAGTGAGGTCATGCAGAGGCAAGCCTGGAGATGCTAAGAGATCCAATCACACTATCTAACAATACAGAGCTCCAGCCGAAGCCAGCCACCCAAGGGTAAACAGGAGGTGTACACAGAATTGCGCGAAATTAGATGCATCGATTTCGTGAAAGTACACAAACGGATATATAGTAAAGTGAGCGCGCCCGATTCAAACCCAAGCACGCGCGTTTTGAGACTTCGTCACTCGAGGACGACTGCTGGGCAAGAGCGATACGGACTGTATTCCATGGGATGTCAAACGAACACCTGGAGGTCCGAACCATTGGTCAAATGTTTATGAAATTTCCGAACGAAGGGTATGAAGTTCGCGGAGTCCCTCGAGCTTAGAGTACCCATCAGGCAACTCTCACACTTCGCATGAACGAGTAAGGGCGTTGCTGTCGCCCGATCGACCTGCTTGATGATCAACGGGAGCATAATTGATACAGGTGATGAAAGGTTATATGGAACCACATCTCGAAGAAGACAGCATATCGGCCCACGGGGGCTACTACGTCGAGCACCGCCTTTGTGTATCCCTTCACGTCTGATAAAGTGAGCGCCACAGTCCAAGTGTAGTGAAAGCGCATTTGTAGCCATGTTCCATTTGCAGCACACAGCTTGAAATGCTTCGCTGCCAGAGATCACAGAGAAGCAGGTACGAAGGGAAGCGACACACCAACAGAAAAACGTCAACGATTGAAAAAGTTCTTCAGCTTGCGCTGCGAAGTTTACTAAAATGAAAATAACATCATCGTTTCTTTCAACTTTGTTCAACTTCTTTCAACTTCTTCAACAATATAAAGAAGAATGACAGTACTAAACGAAGTGAAGACAAGTAAGAGCAAAATTGGAAGACATTACCTGGAGCTGTTGTTGAATGTGGACTGAACGCAGCTGGCGCCTTCTTGGAGTGTAATCCAGATCCCCCACCATTGCGTCGCCAATGATCTCAAACATTCATAGAATTAGGAAATACATCTGTGTGCATTATATGTATATGTATCTGTAACTATCATGTGAAAGTGTGCTGCGTCGTGTTAAAGCTTTTGGATACTAAAACAATCCTCTTTGCTGAAAATCAGCTTCATAATTGAGCAGAAACAGAAAAGAATGAGGAGCGAGTTCCAAGGCTTCATAAGGAGCTCATACTGCAAACACTCATCACAGAAACCATAAAGTTTTCAAAAGACGAATACATGGGAATCATAAGATTCGTGGTGATCTTCGAAATTCGCAGTTGCAACTAACAGGAGACAAGTCCTATCGGTTTTCTTTGGCCATCGTTTCAGGCCATGAATTTCACTTCATCGTTGGATCTTTCATATTTTCTCACTAATATCCAAAGTAAGCAACGCTTCATGTTAGAAAGAAACCGGTGGTGAATTTGAGGCAGAATTCATCCCCGGGACAAATGCTGATTACAATCTTGTCGCTGCAGACGCTGAGGTGCGTCAGGAGGATCAGTTTGGTGCGGCGCCAACACGTTCTCCAAAGAATGCAAAAAATGAATGTTCCTCCATATAATTCTGTGGCATGATCAAACCGTATGTTATAGGACCTCCCATCTACTGAAGAATATTTTACCGTTTTTAAATCGGGGAGCCTGAGATAGAGGTAGATTTGACGGGAAAACTGCTCTTGCATCAAAAATCTATTAGGGCTGAGGGTAGATATGAGTAAGATGGTACGAAGGTTATTTTGATCTGGCATCATTCACGAAGGGATGCTAGCGTTGGTGGGCTTTCGATGTCTCAACAGCTTCCTCAGACCTTTAATATGGAATCAAGTAGACGTAGTAATACAATTCCTAACAACTAAGTTGCTAGAAATAGCCAGATGGACCTGTCCGTCAACGGCGATTTGGTTAGAGTCTGCAATACGATGCCTAATATAACGGAAAGAGTGCAGCTGTCAACAATTCAACTACAACGGATGACCAGCTTACTCCAGCGCAGCTGCCAATGTAACTAAAAGTCTGGAAATGTGACGCGCGTGAGATTCGCAATTTTCTTTTCAGTGAGACTTCCTTCGTGTGGTGTATCACAGTGACTTTTACAGCGGGAGGTGCTTTTTGCTGGTCCTTCTTTATCACCACCAACAAGAAGCAACTCCCGCTCGAAAAGTTACTGTGATACACCACACGAAGGAATCTCCATCGGAAAGAAAATTTCTTATGGAAGCAATGAGGCTAGTAGTGTAACGGTAGTGATAAAGAAGTCCTGGCAAATGTCACGCGCATCACATTTCTAGCGACTTTTAGTTGCATTGGCAGTTGCGCTGGGAAGCTGGTCATCCGTTGTAGTTCAAATGGTGACAGTTGCACTCTTTCCATTATATTAGGCATCGTATTACAGACTCTAACCAAGTCGGACAGGTACACCTGGTTTGTATTTCAAGCAACTAGTTGTTAGAGTAATACTATGTATACCTGATTTCATATTTAGGGTCTGAGGAAGCTGTTAAGAAAGCGAAAGCTCACCAATGAAGGTGTTTTGTGAACGAGTTCTCATTACCAATCTTCCGAAGAAGATAGTACAACTTATGAGGCTCAGGGATAGCCCGACTTTCTCACTACCGACTCTGTTAAACATATGTGTAAAACAATTTTGTGGAGCTTCCCTTCTTCTACTGGAAGCCAACCTAAACGTTCAAGTTAGATTCTATACCTCTCAATAGAGTACGTTCCGGGTCAGTCTCGAGCCATCGAGGGCCCCTCCCCAGTCATGGTTTGCAATTGTGTTTCCTGTGAGTCCCATCGTCCCAAAATTTGCTGGACTGTAATGAGTAGAGATACAATAGAAGCATATATTCGTCTTTTTGCTTCCTCCATTCATTGCGTAGTATCAAGTATGTGCCTTTCTTAATTGGTCACAAACGGAGGCAGTTTGCGAGTGGAAATAAACACTCCCGATTTGCTCCGTAGTGTTTTTGCTAACCTTATGCTGATTAGAATTCCGAGCAAGTCTAATCTTGGTATAGTTTGCACTGTCTTTTTCGGTGTTAGGCGTGCTTTTCCGCTCAGTAGCTGGAAATCGCAAAAGTATTGCTTTTTTGCAAATATGCACACGCCGCTATTGTTGTCTTGCTAGCGTTGCAGAACACCTACGGGATGTACCCCATGTCAACGTGATCTACGCTAACTAATGCCTTGGTATTTTTATCCGCTGTTGAATTCTTGGCATGCGTTGTTCCATCTACGACTAGTTGTAAATATGTATGTATGTATGTATGTGATGTATGTATGTATGTATGTATGTATGTAGTATGTATGTATGTAGTATGTATTAATGTAAGTACGTATGTCTGTCCGTCTGCAAAATTGTTCACGGTTCAAATTAGTGGAAGGGGAACACGACTGCTAGGCAATTCGAAAACTGATTGGTGCAGATGTATCAATCTAATGTTCTGATTGTGATACATCCACCGCTATATAAGGCAACCATTTGGTACACTCCGTGCCATTTCACAGCTGCTCAGGTGGCAGCTGGACGTGTGCTGCTGCAGGGCAGTGGCGGGGGTGGGACGGAGGGGTCCCACCCTATGCCTTCTTCCCCTGCGCGTGCTCAGCCGGATCTGAGCATGTGCAAGGGAAGGAAGCAGAGCCGGGCGGTCCGACTGGATCACTGGGGCCTTTGTTCCAAGAATGATATAGGTTATGGCACAGGAATATGTGGGTGACAAGAGCTGCTAGCTGCTGATAAGACTCTACAAGGGGAGTTAGAATGGAAAGGTCAACATACTCATAAGGCGAGACACAGCATCAGTTAGGCGTTGATTTCAGCAAATAATATCAAGGGGAAGGTGGAGACGGCAACGGCGGGTGACAGGAAAGTGATAACAGCTGATAGGGCCTGATAGAGAACGTTCAATCAATTTTATCAATTGATAAGAAAAGATAAGGGGACATTCCCACGACATCTGTGACCACTACACTGCCAAGTAAACAAGCCTCTCAGTAGCCGAACTTTTCCTCCAGCCATCACTTCTCATAGCACTAGAAAATGAACTAATGAACCCATCCCACTATCCTAGTCTACATATTATATAAATGGTCTATGATTTCCTTTGTTATTCATTTGTTTTTATGCTTCAAATATGCTAATATAACCATACTGAGAATGCTAGGAGAATGCTGTTAGACCGAACGATAGGCTTGTGAAGCGATACGCAGCAATATTTTCACGCGTCGGTGCCTTCTTCGGATCTTTGAACCATAGGAATCTGCAAACATCTTTGTGTTCTTTTTACAGTCGTATTTGAGTGAATGCCGCTTGAATGTCACACATCAGTATCGATGTGAAAGGCATCACTCAGCGAAAGCTGAGCGTTTCGTTTGGAGGATGCGTCGAATACTATTCAAAGCTGTCACAAGAATGTTGAGTTATGGGCAAAAGTCGAACCTCAGGCGGGAGTCGAACCCGCACCTCACGCTTTCCGGGCGAGTGCGCTATCCGTTACGTCAACAGGGCCGCTTCTACCCACTCAGCTCAACGGCTTTTATGCCGTAGCCTTATACACTCACACGTTGAACATGGTGAACAGTGGTGAACAACATGCGGCGTAAAACAGCATTTATCATAACAAAACTACTTCAAAAACTTGAAAAGCCTTCGGCCTAGCGGTTCATTGCCGATATCTAACGAATACGGCTGACCGGCCACCATGTTGAACGTGCGAGTGCTAATCTACGGCTTAAAGCCGTTGACGTGAGAGGGTAAAAGCGGCCCTGGTGACGTAACGGATAGCACACTCGCCCGAAAAGCGTGAGGTGCGGGTTCGACTCCCGTCTGGGGTTCGACTTTTGCCCATAATTCAGCATTCTTTTGACTACTTTCGGAGCGCGAACTGCGGCGTAAAACAACAGTTATTATCATACATAACAGCCGACCCAGTTGGTAACATCTTCGCTTGCTCTTCCAATCACGTTGGTAGATGCGTATTCTTGGAAGATTTGTGTGTACCATGTTTGCTGTTCTTTGTTGGTCTGCAGATGCTTCCACAGAGAAATGAATCTCCGAAACGCAAGATGTTGTAGGAGAGGTTGGCAACATTGTTCTTCAGTGGTATGGCGTAGTGATACTTCCACTGTGGATTAGTATTTTCTTTGAATAGATTCGAAATATGATAATATGTTCTCTTCTCTCGCCATACCTTCTGTTGAAATCTCAAGACCTGTAATTCAAATATTGTTAAGCATCCCTGCCTCTGTTGGGTTACTGATAGTGGTAAGTTTTTACTGTACTGGGTCGTGCTGCAGGTCACTAGATAAGGCATGATGATCATTGGTCTTTGATGTGTTCGTTCGGGGTTCTATTGTTAAGATTCCACGATCATGTATGCTCGGGCCGAAAATTGTTTGTACAAGGTGCAGACCAGAAGGCAGTTCTATAATCTGGCTATTTGGAGGGATGAGCAGTGATCTAGTCCGACCAGTGTGTGCGGAGTTTGATGTTCACCATGCACTCGAGGGTTGCATATGCATAGCTCGTTAAGTTGCAGGTAGTGTTTATCTTCCTTTGGTTTCACCGATGAAAAACCATGGTGATTATTGGTTTAAGGTGATCTTTTAGGGTGATCTCCATGCCATAAGCAGTGCATATTCTGAGCGTCACAACACTGCTGTGGGACTTTTCTACATAGCCGCCGATTCTCGACATGGCACACATCTCGCTCGACTCTTCAGAAAGTGCGAGATCATCTGCAGTTTGCTTCTGAGCAGGATTTTCTGCGCTCCTGTGTCAAAGAAGAACAGGATTTTCTCGATTATGTGGTTCCACACGCCTCCCTCTGCTGTCATTAGAACGATTTGTTCATTCTTTCTAGTAGCAGGATCATTTGTGATGTCAACATCGACACAGGCATCATTGGTTGTTGCTCTATTTTGGCAAGGTCTGTTATTTCAACTATCATTTGATGAGCCATTCCATGCTCTGCTGAAATACGGACATTATTGTTCTTGCTTACTGTTCTGTGTAAGCTGGTGAGGGGTTCTTCTTTACTATGGTTGTTAAAACCGTTCCCTCGTTACTCTGAATCGCTGGAAAATTATACAAGTTGCCATGCATCCGTTTGCAACGTGGACAGTTTCCTCGAAGCACTCGCTTCTTCTGGGGTTGTTAGCAGAACACTAGCAACGCCGGTCTTTTTCCAAGATTTCTCGTCGTCCATTAACGTCTCCACAGTTCTGCAGGCTTGATGTGGTTAGTATTTTTGCAAAACACACAGAACTTTTTGTTCTTGCCGCTTTGTTCTCTATAAGACCTGTTCTGTTTTTTCCTGGTAGCCATTCTTGGGGAACTGCGTAGACTTGACTCTGCCTACTTCTTTCCCTCTATTCCTTCTCTAGCTCATCCATCGTCTTCCATTCGCGTTTTATTCCTGTCTTGGGTGGCGATTAGAACGTTTTTGACGGTGCTACATGAAAATATCTCTAGTATTTTCTTCGTCCATAGCGCGAGTTGCGCACAACCTGCTGAAACCATTTGGTTTATCAGCATTTTGATTTTATCAAACACTTTGTTGAAAGCGTCCGCATTGTTGGCTGTAGGACGTAGATCTATGAGCTTTCAAACAATATCAGCTCAATTGTCGGATTTATTCCCATATTTTTTCTTCGAGGCTTCGATCGTCAAGCTGTAGTTTTTTGGAAGCAACTGTACGAATTTACAGCTAGTTCAGCTTTTCCCCGCAAGCTATCTTTTCTTCTACCGTGCTCAATACTTTGTTTGCATGCACAAGTGTCTGGAAGATTGCCCAGAATTCTGGGAATTCTTCTTCCTCTCCCTAGAATCCCGGCATTTTCAACTTAATGATTTTTGATTTCTGGTTTTAATGTGCGACATATTACGTCCTCTCTGTCGATTTGATTGTTATCAGAAAGATCTTCTGACAGCCACGCGGAGCCTGCACCTACTTTAGCTCCTCCTGCGGGCTCTTTAATTGAATCACTACCACCTTCCTTGGTGGCGGATATGTGGCAGTTTTTATGCGTGCTTATTTCGCACTTATGCGGGTTGCGCCCAGCCTCTGATTAAGTCTGAGTAGTTAACTTTGATTTTCTGTGAGATGCACGCATATCATTTCATACGGCTATTTTTTTCGTGAATTGACAATCTCGGTCTACTGCTTCTATGTCACTGACGAGATCGTTTCTTGTTTCCTTTGGTTCTCGCTTCGTCGAACACTTTTTCTAGTTTGTCGACGAGTGACTGCAGGTCCCTACTTGATGATTTTGATTCCTCCAACGATTAAAGACACATGGTACGCTCAAACACATTGAGGGTGTATGAGACTATCAGCCCCCCAGCTGTCGATGTAACGTGGTCCCCCCGCCCAAAACTAAAAAAACAAACCGAATAATGTATCCAGAAACGGTTAGCATTTAGAACTTTACATACATTCACGTGAAAATTTGCATGAAATCAACCACACCATAAGGCTAATTAATTCTTTGGAACGAATACAGTGGAGATAGTGTGATGGCCCAGGAACTCTCTAAATCGTTACTAAACCGTAATGAACAGAAAAAAGGCGCATGCGCAGCACACAGTGGTCATAGATCCGAGGAGGGGCACAAGGCATGAAGAGTTGTAGACAAAGTAAGAATCGAGCATCGTTTCCCAACAAATTCAAAAAATTGTCAAAGTTGCAATAGAAGGAACTTTGTACCGTTCATCTTAAAGGCAGCGCCCGCGTTCAATTTGATGAGTCATGCGGCTCAGATGGTCATATCAAGGTAGCAGGGTGACCTATTAGTGAAGAAAACGAGAAGAAGTCATAGGGAAGGCCCTCTATAAGAACCCCATGCTGAACTGAAGTTGTACTCGCTCAAGGCGAAGAGAAGGAGCGGTTGCACGAGTTCTCACTTGTTGGTATCAGCTGTTTTCCCTTCATCCCCACTTTGACCTCACCGCTCCAAGTTGTTCTTCTGGCAGAACCGAATTTCCGGACAAACAAACAAACGAACAAACAAACAAAGACGAAGCAAATTATGTATAATGGGTGATGATACTTAATATCTCAAATGACCACTGGATGAGTTTTTTCTCATCAACGTATTCTAATTTCAATACTGTTTCCATACAAATATTTGAAAGCATTGTGACAGTCACGCAAAATAACGGTAAGAAATGGAGCTCTGATGATACTGGCTGTCAGGAAAAAAGGCGTTAAGAATAGAAATAGAATGCAAATAGAAAAGTGAAAACGAAATGAAAAAATAATACATGGAAAAATTTATCAGGTATGTTATAGAGTGTGAGTAGAACGGAGCGAAATTCAGCGGGCTTTGTTTTCGTTTTCCCACTCGAGTTCCTACTTGAGTGCTTTCAATGTCTCTTTCGCTTGACTCTTTACTAGCGTCGGATATCAAATGATCTAATGGTTCTAGATCTACAACCTGCGAGAGGTAATGCAGACACTGGCGCTGATTTCTGCAGCGATTTCTGATAAAACGTGAAAACTTACAGGATGGCCGAATACGTCCATATCCCTAGTAACCTGAGAGGTTGATGCGTCCGCTGGCAACTGAAAAAATGAGTATAAACAGTAGCAAACCACTAACTCAGTCAAGTGGATCCCATCCATAACTTTATATCTATTAGCAGTCGGCTCGCCTGCTGACGCCGGTATGCCTCCTAGGCTCCGCAGCGCCTTCTTCTAACTTTTTGATTTCTTTAAGTAACACCTGGTTTTCACACATCTATACACAGTGTCAACGTTCTTTGGCCTATAGCATCATACCTGCTGCTTTCGACACTATTTTCGGCTACGGAATGGTGGAGTAATGGTTCAAGTGCACAAATGAGAGATAAACCAGGTTCCAGTCGAGTGAGTCAATACAGCGAAATTTGCATCAAAACGCACCCGCTTGACGAAGTGGTAGGATTCCAAAGGCGTTAGCCGGCGAGCCGATTAGTATCAGGTTGAACCTATGACCACGGGTGGTTAAGAATACATATGACTGCCTATGCATTGAAACTCAGTTGAAGGCAGGGTACGCCGTCGTGGTGGAAATCACAATGGGGGACCGTAAGCGCACGGCCCATTCAGAAAAGGGAAGAACAGCAATACTGAGATATCGTACAGTTACTGATTAATAACGAATTCATTCGTTGTTCTTGCTGTGAAAAATACCTGAAGAGACACCATAAGACAGAGACACGTTGCAGGCTCAGAAACGGGGAAGGGCAATGATAAGAACTACGGTAGGCGCCTGTGATAACGTCATGAATCAATAAGCGAACACAATACAGTATACCCTCGGACCGTAGCAGCACATCTGCGTGCTTGAAGAAGTCCCACTCTGAAATTACACCTTTCCAACACCTCTGCATGGAAGTCGTATGCATGGCGCAGAACAGGGGATGTCATTCGGGGCCGTAGCTGCTTCTTAATCACTTCGACGAGAAGATGTTTTCTATGAGCTCACTCAAGTCTTCAAACAAACTAGACGTGGTGCTGCGCAGACGGTGGAGATTCTTTCAAGAACGTGCGAAACATGTCACAGCAAAATCACAACGAGGAATTTTTCTGAATAGGTGTGAGAAAAAAGTGAACTGCTTCTCAGAAAGGGGAAGTTTAAGTGGCTCGAATGCAGTTACTGAACTACAACCTATAAAGAAGAAAAGCAAAGAAGTTACGGCTGTCCAAAAGGGTACTTTCGGAGTTCCTGGCCTACTCTGCAACACCCATCGCACAAAAGCTCGCTCTAGTGCAATAGTGAATAAGTAGTTTGAATGCTCGCGCGCGACTTCCGACTATGCGCGAACGCCTAAAATTCAAGTATCCTTCCCGATATCATCTGCTGGTTTGTCTTTGTCTTTTTTAGAGAGAGAAGGGGGAAGTCTCTTGTTTCTGAACTTTGTTGGATATACCGTCTCATAGTAATAACTCCTTAATTTTCAGGCATATGGAAAAAGAAAACCGCTGCCAGATTCAAAATAGTGGGCAAACATCAGCAGAAGAGCAGCAAAGATTGTCGAATTGTTAGAGCACGTGAGATTCAAGTCTGGAAAATTTTGTATCGTATTTGTATTGTATAATTTAGTAAAATTAAATTCGAAACAAACTCTGCCTAATTTTCTTGTACCGAGTGACGAACGAGACCCCTATCATGAAAGCCGAGACTCTACACTGCCGAGTTCCACCATTTCCAGAAAGTGGGAGGGGGCTTTTTCGGAGTGGGCGGAGCCTCTAACAGTGTGCGGGGCTGCACGTAGCAGTCCGAAAATGCAAATACTTTGAAAAATACGAAACTCCGCGATAAATAAGTGGGCGTGGTCAAGTGGCGGAGCTCAGATTGCCAAGCCGTTTAGAGAGTGGGCGGAGTTGGCCATGTGTCGATACATATGTATATATCTGAAACTCTAGACCGATATCTATGCTTTCCTAGACTTCGCTACGCTAGCGTACGCTAGAATACTTTAGCGTCACGCTAGCGCACCCTGGTAACGCTAGATCGAGATCTATCCTTTCTTGCCAGTGCCGTTGGCGAACGCTGGAAACGCTAGTGTACGCTGGCGTACGCTGCCGCAATGTATAAACGCAGCCTAAGAGAAAAGACTATTTGGTCATAATGAGAGCAAGTTGGAAGAGTCAAAGGAGGAAGTGAGATTAGAGGTTTACGGTGAAGATATCCTGCAGGTGGCCGGCTCCGAAGAGTTCGCCGTGCGATGAACATGACACTGTGTGCAGGCGGCATGTGAAAGCATTGAACACAAGAATACAACCACATATTACATGTAACAATGTGGCATTCAATGAGCACCGAGTTCATAGGCGCATGCATAATAGCGG